AGACCTCTCTTAACCTACTCGCTGCTCCCCTCAGCAGTGTACTTCGTCCATCTGCCTGTTCTGCTCCCCACTCTGTCTCTGGTGAGTCCTTTCACATCCTCCCCTGCCCCCTGCACCTCTGGCCTGTACCCTAGTTCTTGTATGCATAAATAAATCTTAAAAAAAAAAAAAGCCCTAAGCCTATGCCTGGAGCATTATTAAACATTTAATTATTTAAACGTGTGGCTCAACAAGTCACATTTAAAGCCAGGCAGTGTGCACCGGGAGCCTCACCTCCACGACCTACCCTTCTTTCTTTCTGCTCTGGCAGTCATGCCTGTCTATGGTCTATCTGCTCCAGGTACTCATGTGCCGTAGCCAGTCTCTTTCCAGAAATTTCCATGTGCACTCGGTCCAACTCATGTTGGTGTCTTGAAACTGGCTCTGGTGGGAGTTTTTATACGGGGGGGGGGGGGTTGGTGAGTCCCACGAGTTTATGTTGTATATGTAGAGTCAGGTGTCCGACTGACAACTGACAGCATCCAGTTCTGAAGAAGCAGAGTCTGACTGGAAAGGCGAATAGTGTGAGCAGATACCACGTGGGGTGGAGGCCCAGGGTCTGGTGGAACTCTTTGCTTGAGTCCTGGAGGGCTTCTGCATGGGTCATTGTCACCAGCATGGGTGTTGCTGGATCTCGGCAGGGATGGTTTCCAGCCACATGACCGACATGAACATTCTAGACCCAGTTCTTGCTACCTTGGAACCTGTCTCCCCTGAGAGCTGTGCGAGCCAACTAGAGCATCAGGCACGTCTTAAGTGTGTTTCAGATTTGGGGGAGCCTCCTGCCTCCCACCATCAGACACTGGCGAGGACTTAAGAGTGGATTTTGTCTCGAGGCAGACATGGAGTTTTGAAATGTGGTGAAGAGAAAGGAGACCTCTGACCTGCCTTCCCTGTGATTAATCCCAGCCTCCTCGATCTCTGCAGACTCTGCTTCTGTGGGGCGCAAAGGCCAGCGTCATGATACTAGCTAATATGTACTGCTAACATGTACTACCAGCACATACTAGTACAGGTGCTAACATGTGCTCTGCTCATAACCTCCTTCCCTCTTCAGCTCACAGTGGATCCTTTGACCCCAGGCTCCCCTCTCCCCAGGTTCAGGCCAGGCAGATTCATCCTGCTTATCTTTTACCGCTCAGCTGATGGGGAAACTGCCTTCTAGAAGCTTTGCCAAACTTAGTAATATTCACAGACTGCAGCTTTTGCTCAGTGCTAAGCTGTCTGGTCAACAAGTCCCATCACCCTCTCCACTTTAGAGATGCGGACACGGGCCAGGCAGGCCCACAGCTTCCCAGCGGCTGAGCGGAGAGCTGACCGTTTCCCTGAGCTCCTGCTCCTTGTAGTCCATAGGAAGAAGCCCACCCCACAGCGGCCTGCGGGGAGAAGCACATATTCCCCGTCAGTGTCCACTGGATCCTGACTTCTCAGACACTGGCGATTCAGCACTCAACTTGCACAGCACGTCTGGGACATGATTCAGCTCTGGGCTGGCGTGATTCAGCTGTGACCGGCCTGGGCCAGGGAAGGGTGCAGCCTGGGGTCATGGGTGAGCAGTGGGAACAGTCTGTGCAAAGCAGAGATCTGGGTGCTGTCCCGAGCTGATGTCCCGCACACTCAGCCCACGATTCATCTTCCTGGCAGGCTTTCTAAACACAGGCTAAGGCAGCCAGCTGTGACGCACTGAACTCAGCCTGCCTTCCCTTCCCTCGTCATCCGAGAGAAGTAGGTTTGGTGGTGGCTTGCATGGTCCAGGGGGCAACCCTGAGGAAGACGCAGGCTGGCTGGGGGACACCACGGCCCCTTAGTCCCTAAAAGCAGTCAGAACCCCGGTTGGGTTAGGGGGGCTGTTGGCCAAGGTGGCATGCTGGAAGTTCCCTGAGCACCCGGAAAGCTTGGCCTCAAATCTTAGTTCCCTCTCAAACTAGCCTCACAGCCTCATAGACGATGACGCATGTCTCCCAGACTCAGTTTTACTTTCTGTGAAATGGCCTGGAAGGCAGAATCAGCACAGCCCTGAGATCTGGGAGTCTGGATGGCTCCCTCCACTATCACTCGTCACGCCTGGGTCTCCTCACAGACCTGAGACCTGAGCCCTACCCCCCCCCATGCCCCCCACTTCCTGTACCGGAGGGAACAGGGAACAGGGCTCTTGGTGGCAGTGTCTTACTTGTGGCCGCTCAAACTTGGTTTTGCAAGTGCCGTGAAGGAAAACCGCATCTCTGAAAGGGCATTTCTCCACACCATGTAGCTATTCTCCCAGAAAGCTCAAGGTCTTGGGAGGGGCCAGGGGTGAAAGGATTGAGAGCTGGGGAGGGCGTCTGCAGAAGTGAGGCTTGCTTTTGTCAGCCTTGAGAAACTGGGAGGTGGAAGTACAGACCAGAGGGCATATGGCCGCCTGTCTCCTCTCTCCCCAGTGCTGAAGTACGAAAGTACAAACTCGTCCAGGACCTTAGTACAGCAGCCTGGGCCTTGGCAGCTGGAGGGCCTTCTGCCAAGAGCAGCCATCGGCGGCCAGGGTCAGAGGGCTGCTTGTCAGACCTGAATCAAGGGCACAGGGGTGGAGGGGAGTATGGGGTGTCTGGGGGGAATGTCACCATGGTATGGTCGTCCCACTCTCCGGGTGTCACACTGATGCTGCTCATAAACAGAGGCACTGCCTGACCCGGGAGGCCAGTGGGTGATCCACTCTGCTCAGGGGTCCACAGGGAAGGAGCTACAGGGGCAGAGAGTTTGCAGGACAAGATTGGGGTGTTTGTGGGTATTCTTCCCCCGGGAGGAAGCCCACTCCTGGGGAGGCCACAGTGGCATTCAGCAAAGTCCTTCTGACCCCAGGCTTTCTCCTCTCACTGCATCTCATGTCTCGACCCGGCACTGGTGTTTGGGCCTTGTCCTTCTGCCTGGCCTCATGCCCTGGGAGACGGTCGTCTATGGCGTGGCTCTGAGACCCCACATGGTGTGCCTCGCCAGCTCTCCTGCCCCATCCCTGGGACTCTTCCCCGAAGGGAATGCCTCAGGAGGGAGGGCAGCCATAGCCTGCGCCCGGAGGAAGCCAGGCCTCCCTTCCTGGGGTGAGGTCATGGCGGAGGCTATTTTTATCTGGATCGCAGGCTCGGTCAGGACCCTGGAGAGTTTCTAGGGCTGGTGATGGGAACTGCCAAGTTCCCAGAGCTCTTTGGGCTCTGAGCTCAGTAGGATATCTGCCAGGGTGTCCCCTCCTGCACCCCGGCTGCCCTCTGGCAGGGCCTGCCACCTCGGCCAGTGAGAGTTGGCTATTGCTAATGGGAAAGAGAGCAGAGGGAACTTGGCCAAAGGATCGGGTCTCCGGGGGCTCCACATGGCTTATCATGGAGGCATGGCTGCCCCCATCCCCACCCAAGTGGGATCATCTACCTGCTCCTGGTGCTGGCTTTCATCAGCCCTGACTGCTGCGTGGGGGCTGGGTGACTGCTGCATGGGGCTTTGTACATGGACGACAGATGGACAGGAGTAAGACGGAGGTTAGAGGTGTGAATGAGCACCCTCACTCAAACCTGGCTTGTGTTCTTGAGCCCGATGACGGATGGGACCATGATTTGTGTTCCCATCGAGGGGAGCGAGACACTTGGCCCCCAAGAGAGAGGGCCAGGCATGACAGGAAATTCTGGACCTGCACTCATCAGACCTGGGCTTGAGTCCCAGCCCTCTTGAGGCTGATCTGTCACCACCCTGAGCCTCAGCTTCCTTATCTGTACAATGGTTGTGAGGCTTGGGGCAGGGCATCAGGCCCACCTGGGTGATGGGGAAGGGCCTCTGGAGGGAGCACAAGGCACTGCGCAGGTTCGGTCAGACTCGGACCGTGGACTTTGGGTTCGTAGGTGTGTTTTGAGGCCAAGACAGCTTTTCCTAAGGTGTGTGTCAGGGAAGAAAGGCTAGCGAGATGCATCAGTGGGGAAGAACTTGCAGCCCAGACGCCCAAGGGGGGCGATCAGGTGCCTTTGCAGCTGTGCAGTAAAAATGGGGGGCCTTTACTGCGTCAAATGCCATGATCCCTGAGAAAGGGTAAGGGGGTAGTCCTGACTCATGCGGGATCTCGGGGCCCTGCCCCACAGCCCCCAATCACAAGTGTCAGGGTCAGGGCTCCAGGGGTGCTCTCTGGGACTCCCAAGTTGGGGCTGCGATGTCTTAGGGGTCCAGTCCCCCATCTCTGTTCCCTCAGCACAGCCACTGGTTTCATCAGCAAAGGTGATGTCTGGAACCTGCTCAGCAACAGGTGGCCATGCCCAAGTGGTGGCCAGGGCCCCACCGACTTGGCACCCAGGCACAACCCTGCCCTGGCCATGCCTGTAGCAAGCTGGCCAAGGTGTGGCCATGTGCAGCTTTGCTGGGAAGGTGCAGGAGAAGAGTGGGGTTCACAGACCCCCCCAAGGAGGTCCTTTTCTCTTTCCACTGTCATTTTTCCAAGGATCAAATTGGCAGGCGGCCAGTGCTCAGCAGAGCACGTGGCAGGGCGACTGTCCTCCTGTGTGACATGTGGATGGGGTGAAGACGCCCAGGTGCCTCCCAACCCCTTGGTAGACCGAGTCATGCTTTCCAGGGACTAGCGTCTGCTGCTGGCCTTGGTCCCTCCGTCCTCTGGGGGAGGCGACAGAACATAAATCAGGCCAGAGACCCACGTGAGTCCTGAACACGCAGACATGTTAACTCAAAGTCAGAAAACCCGGAAGAAGAGTTTAGTCTTGGGGAGGGAGCCAGGGGCCTGTGTGCCGCTCGCCTTACTGGGAGCTCCTCCGATTCCCAGCGCCACCACTTACTGTTGTGCGACCTGGGCATTGGCTTCTGTGAGCCTCGGTTTCCACATCTGCCATCGGGAGAACGGTGCCGATGTCGCTCAGCTGCAAGCCGGAGCACGGCTGCTTACTGACGCTCTTATCCTGCCGCCTCTGACGCTCTTGTCCTGCTGCCTCTGTTTCCTTTCACAGCGGCCGGCAGGAGCCGTCAGTCACCCCGATCTTGAGGCCCGGAAGCCATGAGCTGCGTCCTGAGCAGCGCCCTCGGGCTGGGGCTGGCCCTGCTGGTCTGTGCCGCCCAGGGCTTCTTCCTGCCCAACGCCACTCGCCTGGAGAAGCTGCTCAGCCGCTACCGGCAGGACGAGCCCCACGCCAGGGTGCGGAGGGCCATCCCCAGGTCGGACCGGGAGGAGATCATCATGCTGCACAACAAGCTGAGGGGCCAGGTGTACCCCCCGGCCTCCAACATGGAGCACATGGTGAGCTTGGCAGTAGGCGGCTGTGACAGGCTCTCAACCTTGGTCCCTGGAAGGGACCCTCCTCTTTGGGGGAGGTGGAATTGTTACAGGACAGGGAGAGAGGGGCACCCCGGAACCCCCAAACCTGCCTGCTTTAAATAGGTTCTGCCATCCCCTGCATCAAAAGACATAAGAGCTTTAATGGAAAGGAACTTTAATACAACGAGTCTATAATAAAGGAAAGACAAAGAATGTAACTTCTAAATCAAACACCTGAAGTCGCCCATCCCCTCAGTGGGTAAAAGCCCACCCAGAAGGGATTGGCTCAAGGCCTGAAAGCCCGTCACAAGCCTAAAGCACCTTCTGGCGGGGACCCATAGGAAAGGGTCAGAAATGGCCAGACAAGTCTGGGAGCAAAATCAAAATTAAGATAAAAGCTGCCATAGGCAACCCCCCCACGGGTCTCTCACCCACATCTGTGTCACCCAGTCCAGGGCCAGAAGCAAGCAGTCTCTTCACGTGTCTCTGCTCCACGTGGCTCCCTCAGGTCTCCTGACTCTCCATCCTGCTGCCTTCTTCCTCAGATTCCTTTTCTACTCTTCTTTTCTCTGCTCAGCTCCAACCTCCTTCTGGGTGGGGCAGGGAACCTGGAACTTCCTCTTTTCCTAGGGACCACCTGTTGCAGAATGACTTTGTCACTTGTTTGGGGACCAGGGACAGAACATAATTCAGGCCAGAGACCCACGTGAGTCCCAAGTGAGTAGAAATGTTGACTCAACCACCCAGAGGAAAATCTAGTCCTGCAGAGGCAGGAGGAGGGTTCCTGTCTCTGCTCTTGATGCCTGCCCAAACAGCACCTGTTACCCATGCAGGGGCTTTCCCATTGCAGACCCCTCAAGCCCCCGCGCCCCGCCCCAACCCCATGCCCTCCCCAAGGCGGCGTTGGGGTTTGGGGCAGGGCTCTGGCCAGCCCAGGTGAGGCGTGACCGACACGGCCAGCTGAGCCTCGGTGTCCCGTTGCAGCCCACCTGACGTGGCTCCTAGGACAGTGGGCACGTGCTGCAGGCCCTCCCCCGGGGCCAGGGCTCTGGTTCTCAGCCCTGGCTGCACGCCTCCAGCAAGCAGGGAGGGGGAGTGTCTGTTGCAGAGCAGGGACAGCGGCGGCCCCTGTGAGTCTGAGAAGTCCTGCTGGAGGAGCGGCCGGTCCGCCCGGCCTTCCCTCAGGTCCCTCCATTTCTGTGCAGCCGTTCCCCATCTGTGGATCTGTGGAAGCAAATCCCCAAGCTAGAGCTGGGGCTTTATATATATATATATCATATATATATATATATATATATATATATATATATATATTATATATATATATAATATAGTAGTTTATTTTTACATCATTTTGTACATTTTTTTTTCATCTCAATTGTAATCCCCGCGGGTTTCCCATCGCCAAGTCACCCGTGTGCCATCACCATAATCCCGTGCACTTCCCTCCCCACCCCCCTGTTTTTGATCCCATTCCCCACTCCACCCCCACAAAATGTCTCTGGTATATGGCTGTTCATTATTCTTATTATTTTCTCGCCTGGTCCATTATACTCCTGCTATGAGCGAAACCATCCGGTATTTTTCTTTCTCTTTCTGGCTCTTCTCACTAAGCATGATCTTTTCCAGCTCCATCCAAGTTGCTGCAAAAGACATGTGTTTCTCTTTTTTGGTTGCTGAGTAATATTCCATTGTATATATGTACCCCATCTTTTTAATCCAGTCATCTACTTTTGGGCATTTGGGCTGCTTCCATGTTTTTCCAATTGTAAATAAAGCAGCAATAAACATGGGGGTACAAGTATCTTTTTCAATCAGTGTTTTTGTGTCTTTTGGGTAGATACCTAGGAGTGGGATTGCTGGGTCGTAGGGAAGCTCCATGTTTAGCAGTTTGAGGAACCTCCAAACAGTTTTCCATCGTGGTTGTACCAGTTTGCATTCCCACCAGCAGTGCAGGAGAGTTCCTTTTTCTCCACATCCTCGCCAACATTTGTTGTTGCTAGTTGTTTGAAGATGTGCCATTCTCACTGGGGTGAGGTGGTATCTCATTGTGTTTTTAATTTGCATCTCCCTTATGACGAGTGATGTTGAACATTTTTTCATATGCCTGTTGGCCATCTGCATTTCCTCTTTGGAGAAGTGTCTTTTTAGCTCTTTTTAGCCCATTTTTTGATGGGGTTGTTTATTTTTGTTGAGTTTTGTCAGTTCTCCATATATTGTGATCGGTCCTTTATCACTGCTTTTGCGTGAGAAAATTTTTTCCCAATGAGTGGGCTGTCTGTTTTTTGTAATGTCTCTTTTGCTGTACAGAAGCTCTTTAACTTGATGTAGTCCCATCTATTTATCCTTGCCTTCCCTATTGTGGCATTGGGTGCTCTATCTTTAAGAGCTGGGGGCTTTTTTAAAATTTTTTCAATACCTTTAGCTTTTTAATTTTTATAGATTAGGAAACGGAGGCCCAAGTTCACATGGTCTTGGCAGAACTGGGATTGGAACAGGAGTCAGTTGGCACTCACCGCTAGCAGGGCGGCCTCACTCTGGGGGTAGCCCCGGGGAAGGTCTCAGGAACCTTTACTGCCACCACCTAACACTTCCGAAAACTTTCCTTTCTCTGGCTCAGGACCCTGCAGGGGTCCTGGGCCCTGGGCCCTGGACTCAGACACCCCGCAGGGGGTCAGGTGCCTGTTCTGTGGTCCTGTTTGTATTGCTTCTTGTGCTTGGGGGTTTGGGGTGGGGTCTGGGTGCTGACATCTAAATGAGCCTTGCAGGGTGCCATGGCTGCTTCCAAGCCAGAGGGATGCAGGAAAGGCAGCCCCAGGCTCAGCGCCTCCCCGCAGCACCCTGGGGCCTCAACTTCTGCTTCCAGACAAGCGAGGTACACAGCTCTCTACTCATCCTGCCTACTGGGCTTCGTGACACTGACCACTGAAATCACCTTAGCATCAAAGGCGGGTTTTAGACTCTGAAGAATGCAGGCACCCTGTCTCGCGAGCCCTTACACGCGTGCTCTGTTCTGGAGGCAGCAGCTGCCACTTGCTGGCTGTGTGACCTCAGTGAGTGCTTAGCCTCTCTGTGCTTTTGTTTCTTCACCTGCAGTAGGGCAGGTGAACTTCTCTCTTAGGGATGCTTGGAGGCGCTCATCAGATCATATACTAAGTAAATAAGAGCTAGCTGTACTGTTGCTATGATTATCTCTGTGGAACGGGACCAGCCCTTGGTGACAGAATGTGGGGCGGGAAGAGCTCCCCTCGGCTGCCAGGCCAGGCTGGGGCCTTCAAGTCGAACTTTCTAGCTGTGTGGCTTTAGGCAAGTTATTTAATCTGTCCAGCCTCAGTGTTTTCATGATCCCCAACAATGGCAAAAATAAAACATCCCTCAAGGGCTGCTAATACTAGGTGTTGGAGGAAGTTTCTCCGGACTGGCTATGCCTACTGAGGGCTGGCCAGTGGCAGAGGACACTTGGCGCATGTGTTAAGTGCCCCGTCCACGGCCCACCTGTCCTGGGGCTCTGTCCCTTCAGGGGACATCGGGCGTCCCCCTGTTTGAAGAAGGGGTCACTTATTTGGTGCAGGCAGTTTGGGGGTGGGAGGGATGAATCAAGAGTCCAGAGATAGGAAGGAGGAAGTCCTACATCAGGTGCCCTTTGAGGTCTTGGTTCTGCTGGGGTCAGCTGAGTGATGGGACCAGCAGGAGACCACTCTCAAGGGTGGTGGTGGGGGTGGGGGTGGTTGCTTTTTTCCACAGGACTGTGCGCCTATGTCAGGCTGCACTTACTCGCTGGCAGAACTCACACACACCTGGTGGGCTTATCAGCTCACGGAGAGTCTGAACACCCACAATGCCCACTGAGATTTAACGGGAGGTGTGACGAGGACGGCACCAGGCAAGGCCTTGGCCGAAACGGAGGCAGGGGGCCCTGGTCCTCCTTCATGTTGCTGGTCTCACCCACTTCCTCATCTCAGAAAGTCCAGGAGTCTGACCGGAGGGAGGGCCGTTCAGTGATCGCCTGCTGTGTGCCAGGGGCGGGGGCCACCAGAGCAAGGGGTTAGCTCCTGCCTGCCCGAGAGCCGAGTCGGAGTGTGGCGGGAGGCTCTGGGCCCGTGGTGGGCCGCTGCTCGCGAGAGCCGCCAGGGCTGCCCTGGCCTCCAAAGCGAGAAGCCAGCACTTCCCTGGAGTTCTGGGCGCTGCCGGGCCAGCGGCAGAGCGGCCTTCAGCCTGGCCGGACCGCTGCCCAAGTCCCTCTGGGTTAAGGTGGGCCAAACGAGGGACGCACGGACTGCCAAGCTGACAGCATTTCTTGCTTTTTTTTTTTTCAATAATGATAAAATATACAGAATATAAACCTATCATCTTAGCCACTTTTAATAACCATTTTTAAGTTGGTGGCATTGAGCACGCTCGTTGCTGTGCAGGCAGCTCTGCTGCCCTCCCCAGAGCTTACTCATCACCTCCGCTTCAGGTGGGGGCACCGAGGCTGAAGGTGGCAAGGATTAGCCCGGCGTGCCCGCAGTTAGAGGTGGCAGGAGCCGCGAGGACAGCCCTTCCTCGGGGTCCACTGCCACTTCCAGCCTGCTGAGCTATGGGCCCAGCGAGATGTGCAGGGCCCGGAGCCCGGAAGGGCGGCGTCACTGTGCTTTCAGGCCGTCTGCCCATCCCTGACCTGCTGCTGTCGGTTTTTCCTCCTACAGACTTGGGATGAAGAGCTGGAGAAGTCCGCAGCCGCCTGGGCCCAAGAGTGCCTCTGGGAACACGGGCCCACCAGCCTGCTGGTGTCCCTCGGGCAGAACCTGGCCGTCCACTGGGGCAGGTGAGAGCCATGTGGACCCCCTTGCTTACGAGCTGACCGCCACTGCTGAGCAGCTGGGTGCAGCTGGCCTGGCACAAGCTGTCTGTGGGTGCAATTAGCTCCCTCCTGACACCATTAAGAGACGGACCATCTGTGCCGTTGACAGGTAGGGAAACCGAGGCTGGGTGCCCAGGATCTGTGCCATTGACGGGTAGGGAAACTGAGGCTGGGTGGCCAGAAACACTTGAAGTTCCAGTCTGGCTGGCTGACCCCAGACTTTAATGGCTGGGCTAGGATATGCTATAGTGTACCTCCCCTTCTCCTTTAAGGGTTTCTTGCCACCTGTGGGGGAGGACCTGGCTGAGCAGTCTGGGAAATAGGGGCACGTGCCACCAAACCCCCCACCCCACCGTTCCTAGCCTGTCTGAATTCTTTGTGCTCTTTGAGGCCCAGTGAGGTTCCAGTTGTGAGCAGCTGTCCCTATCTCCCAGGCCTCCTCCGGCCATGGTGGCAGGAGGACTCACGAACTTCAGGCCCCAAGCCCTGGCAGCCCGCCGGCCCGCTACCCCATAGGAGCTTCTGGGAGCTTCTCACCCAGGGGAAAGTTGGGGTCTCGTCAGAAGTGGGAAGTGGAGAACGTGTCTCTCTCCCTGGCAGCAGTAACAGGCCTTGGGGACCCCATTCATTGTGTCCTCATCCCCCACAGTTAGACTGGACTTTAAGTCACCCCTCACCACATAGGTCAGGGTTTGCCGACCTCAAGGCCAGTGGTTTCCTGGCTCTTTGGCCTGGGCTTGACTCTGCCACAAGAGGCGACCCCAGACTTGAGGCTGGAGCTTAGCGCCGGGACCTCACTTCCTGGAAGCGCGTCCACACAGTATTTTTTTTTTTTTCCTTCAGGGATTTTGCTTTTTATAAAATCAGTCTGACCAAAGCGTTAAAAGGAAATGTCTAAAGGGGAAAAAATCCATCATCCTGTTGCCGGCTCCAGCCCCTTTCATTTCTCTGGCTCCTTTGTAGAGTTTGGCTGGAGGCCGGCGTGTTTTTACGTCGTTCTAACTGCGGCCAGGACAATTTTTATTCATTTTCTCCCCCTCTTCTCATACGTTATGAAGTGATTTTCTAGGCCAGCCGTCGGGGTTGACGTCTTGTGAGGTTGCTGACTGGCCAGCAGGTTGACAGACCGAAATCCAGCTCCCCCCCCCCCCCCCCGCCTGCGGCTGTGTTTTTTGGCTCATTAGCGCGATCCCACTAGGAGGGGTTGGTGGAGATGGGGCTTCACACCGGTGCCCACCGAGCGCGGGGCCCCCGCCGCACCGGTTCGGCCCACTCGCTTCCCCGGGAGTCCGTCACTCGCGAGGCCCGTGGCCCAGCTGGCCTGGGGGGAGGCCGCCGCCTCCCTGACTGCCGGCATGTGCTGTGGGTTCTGCAGTAACTGTCACAGCCCTCTAAGTGCCGGCCGCCCACGGGTCCTGGCCGGCCCTGGGTCTTTCCTCGGCATTGCAGCTGCTTTATTTGTACTTGCTGGTGGCAGCCACTGACTGGGGCTTTGCATCCAGTTTATTTTCTTTCCCGGGAAGAAAGTAGCCAGTCCTCCCCTGCCGGTGGGCCGGTGGCCCAGGGAGACTCTCCTAAAGGCCTGTCCACCTCCGTGCAGAACTATGCGTGTGTGCACGCTTCCGTGCCTTGAGGGAGTTTCCTGCCTTGAATCTCAGCCTGGGGGTCCCCGGCAGTCTGTTGTGATGACACAGAAACTGGAGGTGCTAGGCTCTGTTTTGGGGGCCCCACGCCACATCCTCCGTCGGCAGCTGTTTGCCAGTGTTCAGACCCTGCCTGCAGCAGCAGGCTAAGTGATCTGCTCGAGCTGTTTCTCTGTCCTCACTCTAAGTGGGCTCACGTCTCCCATCAGGTTCTGCCTTAGCAGCCATGTCTGAAATGTAAGATGTCCCTGCTCCTGGCACCCAAATGTACGTGAAAATAAATACACAATTGTTCCATAATAAAGGATTCATTAGGGACACCGGTGTTTTGTGGGCCCCCCGGGGACTCTTCTGGAGCCCCGAGGGCACCTAGCTGAGCTCCTTGCCAGTTGCACCTGAAGCCCTTTTAGCAGGTACTGGGTTGGACGGGCACCTGGCTTGCAGGAGTCCCTCCTCCAGCCTGCCCCCCAAAAGTGGCGGTGCTGTGGTCTCCATGGTTGGGTGTGTGGTGGCCAGGGCATGACCAGCTGATGTACCCCACAGGTATCGCTCCCCGGGGTTCCACGTGCAGTCTTGGTACGATGAAGTGAAGGACTACACCTACCCCTACCCCCACGAGTGCAACCCCTGGTGTCCGGAGAGGTGCTCTGGGGCCATGTGCACCCACTACACGCAGGTAATCCTGGAGGCATGGCCGCCACTCCCCCGTGAGCCCCCAAGCCCGGTCACTCGCCTGGCCAGCCCTGCGGGGTCGTCGCCCCTCTCAGAACCTCTGCGCTGGCACTGCCTATATCTCTTCCTTTAATTCAGTGCTACTCCAGTGGAAGCTGCTGGTGGGCCCTTGACATGGGCGGAAACAGAATAACCAGAAACGCCATGGCAGTTGCATAGTGCTGGGCATTTCCCTTGATTGCGTGGTTTATTTTCTTCATTTTGGGGGGTTTGGTTTGATTTTTTTTTTTAACAAATGTATGACTTTCAGTCTTCCCTGGTGATGCAGGGGTTAAAGTCTCAGTGCTGTCGAGCTATTATTGCCAGTCACTGCAGCATGAGTTTCGAACCCCAGCCAGGGAGCTGACTCACATGGTGCAGCAGACCTGTCTCTCCTGCTGCTCCCCTCAGCAGTGTACTTCGTCTATCTGCCTGTTCTGCTTCCCACTCTGTCTCTGGTGAATCCTCTTACCGCCTGCATCTCTGGCCTTAGATGCATAAATAAATAAAAATAAATCTTTAAAAAAATGTATGCTCGCCAGCGGACAGGGGAAAAGTCTGGTCCTTCACACATGCCCCTGTGAACCCAGGCCAGAAGCTGCACCCCGTGTGCCTGGCCCCTGCACTCTGACACACAGCATTGCCCTTCCAGATAGTTTGGGCCACCACCACCAAGGTTGGCTGTGCTGTCAACACCTGCCGGAGGATGAACGTCTGGGGAGATGTTTGGGAGAACGCTGTCTACCTCGTCTGCAACTACTCTCCAAAGTAAGAAAAGCTGACGCGGTTGGGTGGGTGCGGGTGTATTTGTCTGCCTTCCCGGGCCCATATAAAACTGGCCTCAGCCATGAAGTCTCTTCTTGACTTCACTTAACAAGATATCAGAGGCTAGTGTGTCCAGGTTAACATCTCAGTGGCATCAGTGAGGACTCAGATGCTCTGTTTTCTTGCTGTTCAATCTTCTCCTCATGGTTCCAAGATGGCTGCACAGCACCAGAGATCACATCATCCCAGGTAGAAAGAAGGAAAATGGTAGAAAGGGCTCTCTCCCAAGTCCACTGTCTCCTCATTTCTTTAGTCATTGACTAGACTAGGCCACTTAAGGAGAAAGTCCACTGTCTCCTCATTTCTTTAGTCATTGACTAGACTAGGCCACTTATGGACAAAGGGTGACAAGATTGCCCCAGTTGGCTTTGACCAATGAAATTGCCCCAGTTGGCTTCAAGCAATGAAACATTCTCTGCTGGCTTCACAGTCACCCTCTGGGACGATTGAGTAAGTCAGAGCAGGAGTCGCTGTTGGCTGCATAACCAGTGGATACTTCCATGGTGATATTTTATTTTCTCTGAATTATGCAGCAGACGGAAAGCAGGTACCGGTGTTCGTCAGCGCTCATTTTGCAGACGTTCGCCCAGGGGCCACATCGGGTCAGCCTGGCAGCGCTGCCTTTCCTCCCTGCAGCCGTCCCCCGACGTCACCGTGTGTCACCGATTCCTTTACTCAGTCTCCTCCGTTGCTCACCAGGCAAATATGTGCTGATTCGCAGAGAACAGCTCACGGGCTCACAGGCTGCGGTCTGCATGCTGGCCGTGGTGCTGGCTGCCGTCCGAGTGCTGCGCCTTGCACACGGTGGACCCTCAAGGCGTATTTGCTCAGTGGCTGAATGGAATAGGAGTGACCTCATTTATTTGGTTTGGGTCAGGCGTGGCCGTGAGGAGGCTGGACGAAGGAGGAATCACTAGGTTGGGAGGAAAATAGCTCATTGCTAGCTGCCAGGCCTGCCTGTGGTGGCCGTGGCTCAGCAGCCCTCAGAGAAGGACGGGGCGTGGTGTCGTCACTTGTGGGGGACACAGCCCCACAGACAAGCCGAGCACAGGCCACTCCAGGTGGTGGAGTGCCCGGCGGAGTGGCAGGTGGGAGCGGAGAATCATTACTTGGTGCTGTATAAAAGACACTAGACGGTTCTGTTTGAAATACAACTCCTCCCTTCTTTGGCCTCCACTCTTTTTCTTGACGAAGGAATGAGCAGTGTGCAGTGAAGGACACTAATCTTCCACGCACAGCCTGACAGATTTTCATACGCACGGACATGCATTCGTCGGCTCGGGCTGCGTTGCAGAAGCTCCCGGGTAGGGCGCCTAGACCACAGAGACGCATCTCCTCATGGGCCTGGAGGCAGGGCACCCCAGTCAAGGTCCGGCAGGAGGGGCTTCTGCCGAGGGCTCTCGGCCTGCGTGGGGACAGCCGCCTCTCGCGAGAGTCACCTGGCGTTTCCTTGGTGTGGGCGCGCACCGTCAACTTGAGGTCTCTGGCGTCTCTATCCAGAAGGACAAGTCTCATCTCATGGCCGCCTACTTTGAGATCCTAACCTTCAGCAGCCCCTTCGAGGCCCCACCTCCAAGTACAGTCACGCATATGAATTGGGGTGGGGGCACACCTTGAATCCAGTCAAGGGGAATTCGCTCACCCAGGTCAAAATGGAGACTATTCCCAGCGCCTGGTAGGTTCCCCGCGCTCCCCTCTGCCAGTCTGTCTCGCTTCACTCTCGTGTGAACACAGCCAGTGGTGTGTGCTCTTGTGCCCAGCAGGCACCCTGCTATCCCGAGAGGCGTGTCTGTGCCCAGCACACTGGCTGCTGGCATCCCATGCGGCCCGCAGCCTCTGTCTTCGAGGCCCTGCCCTGCACGCTGCCCTCCCGAGCGGGGCACGCAGGTGGTAGCTGCGAGGGTGGCTCAGCCAGTTGGGCTCAGGCCCCTGGGTGGGGGCAAGGTGAGGCCTGTGTGCCTTCAGGGGCTGCTGGCAGCGTGAGGAGACTGTCATGTTGCTGTCCAAGCATCAGCAGTGCGCCTTGTCTTGGAGAAAACATGGGACCCTGGATGTGAGGGTGCCTTGGCAGGTAGGGGAGACAGAGGGACAGACTCCCCTGGTGACCAGAGTAGCCTAAGAGACCCACTGAACCCCATCTGATGACAGGATGTGCCACCCGGCTCTCTAGGCCCCCAGCCATGTTCCACTTGGCGGCGGGGTGGGGGTTGGTCATCCTGGAGACCCCTGGAATCTCCAGCCAGCCTCCTTGTCTGAGTAGAGTGGTCAGCCGAGTGGGGTTTCTCGCAGTGTAGATGTGCGTGTGGAGGGTGCTGCTCCCCAAGCCCCCCAGGTCTGGCGTCCACACTCCCTGCATGGTGCCCTCCTGCTCTGCAGCTGTAGGCGGATAGACAGGGAGCAAGTTTTCTTCTTTCGAGTCACGTTGTGGGAGCAGCTTGTAGATTTAGCATAGGCTCAGACTGTGGGCTTCACCACAAGCTGGTCTGGTCATGGTACCCCACAGACTCCCCGACTTCGTCCTCACTCAACCTCACACAACCACGCGCCCAGTGCACAGGGATGGAGACTCACGACCGAGTGAGGCGCGTGGGGTCGCTCGCCAGCGAGATTCCACTTGGGGCGTCTGCTCTTCCCACTCAGTCAGAGTGCTGGGGCCCCGGTGGCCTAGCAGGGAGTCCCCAGGTCTCTTTATTGAATGAACAAAGGGATGACTGGGCAACCAGGAAGGAAGATTCTAGAAGGAATCACAGATAGGCCCCTGCCATTCATGGTTCTCTTACTCGACAACGGTCCAGACTGGAAGGGGTAGGGAAGCCCACTACCACCCGGCCTCTGGAGAAACCCCACAGAGCAACCTCTAGCTTTCCCCCTGGGAACTTCAGATGGTGGAGCACCCTTAATGCTAGAGAGACCGTGGTCCCAGCCAGGAGAACAGCATGTGGACCAAAGCTCTGAGCCCAAGGGCCTGGGTTTCAAATCCCGGCCCCTCCGCTAGCCTGCACTGTGACCTGGGACAAGTAGCTTAACCTCTCAGAGCCTCCATTTCCTCCTCCACAGAAAACTGCCTTCCAGCCCATCCTTCCTGGGGTGCTGGAAGGGTGATAAGAACTGAGAAAACACAAGCTCCTCCCAGGAGCACACAGACTTTTCTCATTTTGGGAAATGGCTCTAAAAGGTTGTCCTGGCAGCTTTCTAGCCCACGGACTGGGGCTGCCGAGAGCATTCAGACTTGCGGGAGGGGAGCAATCCAAGTGGGTGTGGAGCCAAGGGAGTGCCTGGGGGTGCAGGGCACATGCTTACTCAGCATAGCAAAGAAGGACACAGTGTAGCTCCCGACTGGGGTTCTAGAACTCTCAGACGGCACAGGGCCCAGGACAGCTCCTGCCCCCTCCCTCACAGCTCATCTTCCTTCTTCCCCCTTGGGTTTGGGGACCTGAGGGGGCCTGAAGGGGACTGAGACACTGTCTGGGCATTGGCCCCCCTCACCGTGTTTCTGGTCTGCCTGCAGGGGGAACTGGATTGGAGAAGCCCCCTACAAAACCGGCCGGCCCTGCTCTGAGTGCCCGCCCAGCTACGGAGGCGGCTGCAAGAACAACTTATGCTACCGAGGTAGGACGTGGCTTCAGACCCATAAGGAGTGGGGTTCCCCGGTCTGTGGGTCCTGAACAGCCTTCTGTAAAGGGGGAGAGTCCGACAGTGCTGCCCAAGGCGCTCCCCTCCCTTCTCCCCTGCCACCTTGCACTGGAGAGTGCAGGTGTGGGAGGGGCCAGGGACACACACCTGGCTGCCTGCGCTGTGCTTCCCCATGGCCGGACTCGGAGCCAGAGGCTGGATGCAGACTTGCCTAGTTAGCGTCTGTGGCCTGGTGGAAGACAGACAGCACACCTGAAAGCGACAGCGGATGTTTGAGGCTTGCTCTTCCTTTGCCCTGTTTGTCACAAACGGCCAGAAGATGCTCCCGGGTCCCCTCCTCCCACACTCTAACGGCATCTGTTTCTCACGGTCAACAGTGTGTGTTCTTCCAGCCTGAAGCTCCACCCCAGCAGGTGCAGCCTGGGCCAACGGGCTGGCTCTGCTTTTGTAGCTGAGATGTATTTTCACACGACTCAACCCACGGCCCTTGTGACAGCCCTGAGGGGCCTTTATGGGGCTTGGGGCACAGGAGAGAGCAGCCCCTGGTGCCCGACCTCCCCAGCGGAGGGCGCGTGGCTGTGTGGGTTCAGCCCGACAGCTCTGTCTGGGGAAGGAGCAGGTGGCCTGGCCTAGAGGGGTCTATTGTCCTGGCCCTGCTGTTCACACCGAGGAGACAGGAGAATCTGGATTCTGACATCTGGCCAACCGCTTGTGCCGGGCCCTAGCTGTGATGCACGCATGGTGACTGAGCGTCCAGCCCTGCCTCTGCATGGCTTTAGGCCACTTGTCCTTGGTCATTCTACCCATCTGTGAAATGGGTCTGATAGTGCATCTTTCACAATGCCACTCGGGCCCAAAGGGCTTGCACTTGGTGTGACTGCATCGTGTGCCAGCACAACAGTGACATTATTGGAACGATAGTCAGTCAAGGACCTGCCCTCATCAACCTGAGGTCCTGCAGGGTCATTGCCACATGGAGTAACACACATCTTCCCTGGGCAAGTAACAGACTCCACAAAGTGTGTAACTGGAGTATAGACTGTTATCTGGCTGGTCAGGTAAAGCCTCCCCAGCAGGTGGCTCTGGAGGGAAACATGGAATCCAGTGATGGGAAAGGTGTCTCTGGCAGGTGGAACAGCATGTGCAAAGGCCAGGCAGCAGGTGGCAGCCAGGTTCTGAGGCTGGGAAGCAGAAACTCCGCAGGTGTTCAGATGCTGGCGGTCCTGCCACACAGCAGAGATGCCTGGGCCTGTGTGACATGGGGCCCCCTGCTCAGCCTCTCTCTCAGGCAACATCTCTTCATTGTCTGTGAGACTGGACCCTACACACCAGCCTGTAGTGAAGTCTCCAGGTAGCCTGGCTCTGGCTGCTGGATTCACGGGACAAGCATGGGTCTTAGCACCTGGCACACCTGCTATAAGGTGTGAGATGCCACAGCTGTATATCCAGGGAGGAAAAGGCATCTGCCAGGTTGCTGATTCCCATGAGGCTCCAGATTGGGAGAGGACCAACTGTCCCCACCAGGTGAGGAAGAGCCCCCCCAAAGATGATGAGGGCAGCATCCCAGCTGGGACCCTGAGCATGTCCCATCGTCTCTCAGAGCCTCAGTCCTCCCTCAGCAATGGGGCCTCTGTGTCTGCCCCGAGGGGGGCAGGGGGACAGCGGGGAATGCAGGTTGAGGTTACAGGCAAGTATGTCAGGGCCCTTCCCCGAGAGCCTGTCCAGGCAGTTCCTGTGGCAGCTGCAGGTCCCCATTAGATCCTGGATGTTGGTTTAGAGACTAAAGGGTAGACACCACTTGAGACTCCTCCCAGGTACAAAGCTGCCGCCTCCTGATGCTGCTTTCAAAGCGCCTTAGTGCCTTTCCTTCAGGGGCTGGAGCTGTCCTGGATAAGACAGGCCGATGGGCCATCTTTGCCATTATTGCCACATGTGCCTCAGTTTCCCCATCTGTGATGGTGACAGGCATAATCCCTCCATAGAAGATTTGCTGGTTGCCTACAATAAGAAGAGTGTTTTTTTTTTGGGGGGGGGGGGATGTGTGGAATATAGCTCCTTAGCTCATTGGAAATAAGGGGGAAGCAGAAAGGAATGCTGCCTTCATCATCTTTGGGGGGGCTCTTCCTCACCTGGTGGGGACAGTTGGTCCTCTCCCAATCTGAGGACCTCATGGGAATCAGAAACCTGGCAGATGCCTTCTCCTCCCTGGATATACAGCTGTGGCATCTCACTGCCTCCAGGGAGCCTTCCCTGATTTCACAGACAGGCAATGTACTTGTGTCCATGGCCTCACTGCAGACTCCCCTGGGTCCTGACCATCTGTTGTCACACCTGCCTGTTCACTGTGAGCCTTCAGGGACAGTTGCTGGCCTGTTGTGTGTGTCATCTGAATCAACAGACCCCTAGTACCCACAGAGAGTCGTTTCCAAAGAATCAGAATGCACAGACATCTTAGATGAGGGTGTGCGCGCTCAGCGAGACGTCCTTCACTTGGGTCTTTATTTTTGGTGGAAGATGCCCAACTTCACTTGGCCGGCCTCCCGATTTCCTTAGCTAACCATGCAGAAAGTCTCCTGTAAAGCGGCTTATCTGCATAAGCTGCTTAATAAGCATTGATGGAGGGTGCCTGGCCAGGCCTTGACCTGTAACAGCTAGGGAACATGGATAAGGCTGGGAGGAAGAAGAAGTGTCCGTCCCTGCAGCCCGGGCTTTGGGGAGTGGCTGTGTTGGCTTAGATGGGTGGCTTAGCCTCTCTGAACCTCAGCTCTGGCCTGTGAAGGGGACCCACACGCTTCTTGGGCAGCAAAAGGAGGGTGTGCAGGCAGGGTCAGCCCTGGGTTGTCATTTGGTCCTGGCACAGCCAGGTAGGGATCGGCAGCCGGGCTCCCGAGACCCCTGGTCCAGAGCTGGACAGCTCACAGAGCCCCCTGGCAGTGACTTCAGGTATGGAATTTCCCCAGGCATGCCTGCCCTCCCCAGCCCCCTGATCTGGCTGGCCTGGAGCAAGCATCGCTTGGTGTGTGTGTCTGAGGCAAGGCCTGCTGCCCATTTTCTTAAATAGTGAGGCTTCCAGTGCTTCAGACCGTCTCACCAGACTATGTTCAAAATAAAGCCACGATTATGAGGCATAAACCCTGAAGGCCAGTGGAAGAAACCCTGCTTATTCCGGAGACGCTCAGTTGGCAGCGAAGGGCGACCTGAAAGGCCGCATTGAGGAGGGGCCGACCGAGGCCGGCTGCCTGCCCACAGCCTCGCACAGCGGCGACTTCCTCAAGACTTCCCCTCCTGCTCTGGGCTTACAAGCGGTGCTTTCAGCATTTCCTTCTTGAATGTTCTTAAACTTCCCTGGCCAACTTTTTTTTTTTTCCAGGAAAATTCAACCATAGAACTCAGGAAGGGCTTTGCCTGTCCTTCGTCCAGAAAACTTTGTTGTGCTGGGGCACGGGGTACCCTGTGGGGCACGGGCAGGCTGGCTCCTGCCCCCAGGGCATGGACAGCTGGTGGCAGAGGCAGGTGGCAGTAGAATGACAGCTGCCAGCTGCTGTACAAGGTGGCCACACGCTCCCATGGGGAGGGGCTTGGGTGCAGATTGCAGTCGCCTCCCTGGTTAAGTCCCTCCCCGATCCCTCTGGACTGGCTTCCCTGGCGACTGGGGGAGCATGGGAGTTGGGGTGCTTATGACACAGGGTAACAGCACCCTGGCATCCCGACCTTGAAGGTGCCAGAGAATCCCTCCTTTGCCTGCCTTTGGGTGTTCTTTTTGTGTACCAAGCACCTGTTCTGCCCTTCAGAGAGGTCATTTCCCTCCAGGACACTGGGCAGGAGGCTGGGAGACTTGATGGAAGACTCACTGAACTTGATGGGGCTGAAATTTTAATCCAGTGGCACAGAGGCCTGGGAGGGGCTTCAGATCTCTTCTGGAAATCCTTTCCAAACAGCTATTTTTCTCTCTGGAGGATTTCAGAAAGCAGGGCTTCCTGGCACCAGTGCACACATCTACACAGTGTCAGGGGGCCCTCCACCCCCAGCTCCAATGCCCACCCATCCCCCCTTGATAAGGTCACTCAAGCAAACAAAAGTAGCAATGCTTCGCTTTGCTTTGGCTGGAATCTAAGCCTGGTGTCCCGGTGGCCTGCTGACCGATGCTGGTGAGCGCGTAATAGTTAGCTCATGGTGCAGCTGGAAGATAAATAAGCCGATGCTTAACAAATGCAATTGAAAATGTTTCCAAATGTGAGGTTCACAGTCAGAGATGGACAGTTACATTTGGATGGAAGAGTATGGGACCCAGTGAACTTTTTTTTTTTTTTTAAGATTTATTTATTTATGCCCCATATAGAACTGGGGTCCAGGCCAGAGGTGCAGGGGTGGCGAGAGGACTCACCAGAGACAGAGTGGGGAGCAGAACAGGCAGATTGATGAATCAGTACACTGCTGAGGGGAGCAGCGGGCGGGCCAGGAGAGGTCTGCCGCGCCCCGTGGCTTTAGCTTCTGAGTGCTGTGATTTAACCTGCTGCACCACCAGGGAAGGCCCCAAGTGAACTGGTTCCGCACGATAGGGCTGAGCAAAGCGCTGAGAAGGGGTGGTGAGGGACTTGGTGCAGAAGGGAGCAGAACTGAGGCTGAGGGGCTGGGCCGCTCGCATCCACGCGGGTCTTCAGACCCAAGGGTGGGCAAGTAAGTGAGAGACAGCCCGCCCCAGTGAGTATCTAGGCTGGGGAGGGGTGGACCTCAGGGGGACGGAGCAGTTTTGGGTCAGAAGATGAGGCAGCTTCCAGAAGCGGCTTCTGTGGGCGGGAGGTGGGGCATCTGTGGGAGGAGGTGGACAAGAGATCCTTATGACAGTCCAGGTGTGGGCGCTGGGCCCTCTGACCTCCGGTCAGCCCAGCTGCTCTTGTGTCCAGAGCCAACAGGGAGCACGGCTGCCTGCCCCTCGCCGCTCGGCCAGTAGAATTCCACCTGGCCAGCCCTGTGCTCTCTCTTTGCTGCTGAAACGGTTCTTTGTGCCATGAAACCGCAAACAAGCTTCACTTCCAAGTCGTCTCTTTTCTCTGCAGAGTGCATTTTTGGTGAATCCCAGTGTGTTCTTTTCCCTCTTCCTCTCCACTGTTTAGAGACTTACAACCAAAAACCTGAAACCGATGAGATGAATGAGGTGGAGGCGGCACCCAGCCCCGAGGAGAAAGTGGTCACGGGGCAGCCGAGGGTGAGCAGACCCTCGCAGCCCAAGAAAGCCCCGGCCGTGAGCTACATGAGTGAGTGGGCTCCGTCCCCTGCCCTTGGCCGCCCTGCCCAGCCCCTCTGCGAGGCGGGTGGAGGAGGGGAGCCTGTGGACTGAGAGGTCTCCAAGTGGACAAACAGTGGGGAGCAGGGCGGGGCCCGCAAAAGCACAAACTTAAGACGTCTTCAAAAGGGATATTTTTAGGTCCTGTCAAGAGCAAGCGCTTCCCCCCAGGCAGGGATTTTAAGGTCAGACCTTCCCTTGTCCTTTCAGAGGGACCTGGGCTTGGATTTGGGCTCCCTTGGAAGCCTCTGCCTCCCCGGAGGAGAACCAGAGCCCAGCGTGTGGCCGCCCGGCCGGCTTCCGCCCATCGCCACCCCTGCCGGCTCTGGTGGGACCCGCATCGACACTTGACACTTGAACGCCCCCTACGAAGGGGCAGGGGTGCCTGTACAGGTCCTTGAGAGGATTGTCGGGCGATTAGTGAGCCCCCCTGCCCTGGTTGCCCTCAAACCGCCCCACTACTGGCCCTTGAGGGAGCCAGCCCCAGCCATCTTTTTCAGGCTCTTCTGCTGGCTGATCCCCCCACCTGTCCCATTCGTCTTCCCTTCCCCTCGGGCCTTCAGAGTCTCCCCTTGACCTCTATTTAAACATTCTGTAGCGAATGTGGATGTGCTAGTGCATCCAGAAATTTGAAATGGTTCCAGTGTTTTCTTTTTTAAAGGAAGCCATTAATGTGAAATAACCATATCAATTATAATATAATATAATATAATATAATATAATATAATATAATATAATATAATATAATATAATATAA